CTTATAAATAGTAATTTACAAACGACTCCACTATACATTGTTCATAAATGAGAAACGTATCTTAGGGTAATATCAAGGGTTGTGCTATAAAAAATTCAAGGTCATTTCTGTCTATGCATTTATATCCAAACAACACACTGTTATAAAATTCAATAAAAAGCAATTCCATGCTCGCCAGGTAGAGTGTACTCTGCTAGTAAGATGGCTGAAATAGTTTAACATGGACAACAACACTCCACAACAATAAGAAATTGTTTTGGAAGAGGGTAAAGCTTGAAAGAGTGCTTTTTTCCTTATATTCAAAGAGACATGAAAGCTACACCAATGATTTCTCATGGCCTCTAAGTCTGGCAGCCTGTGTTTAAGCCTTAGCACTGACTCTGATCCTAAGCAAGTCTCCTCATCTGCAAAGTGGTATGATAACTGTACAAACCTTACAGGGGGAGCACATAAAGACACATGAAGATCAGCATGGAAACAGAAGACTTGAACAATGTATAAATAATGTAGCTAGACCAGACCAGTCCAACCAGAGAACACTTCAGCCAGCAACAGCAGAATGCGTGTCCTTCTCAGACACCAGACATACTCCAGGACAGAGCATGTTAGGCCGTAAAAACCAGCCTCAGTGAATTTAAAAGAACTGAAATCATAGAAAGTATGTTCTCCAACTACAATAAAATGAAATTAGAAATTAGTAACAGAAAGAAATCTGGGAAGTCGCAAATCTGTGGAAATTGAACACACTCCTAAATAACCAACGAAGAAATCACAGGGAAATTAGAAAATGCTTTGAGATGAATGAAAAAGAAAACACAATATAAAAAAAAAACTTATGCAACTAAAGCAATGGGAAATTTATAGCTGTAAGTGCCTCTATTAAGTAAGAAGTTCTCAAATCAATAGTCAAATCGTCTACCTTAAAACACTGTAAAGAGAAGAGCACACTAAACCTGAAGCAAGCAGACGGAGGGAAATAATCACGCTTAGGATGTAAAATTAATGAGACAGAAAACAGAAAAGCAGCAGAAGAAAATCAACAAAACCAAAAGCTGTTTCTTTGAAATGACCAATAAAAGTTAACAGATGTTTAGCTAGACTGACTTAAGAAATAAAATAGAGAAGACTCAAATTACTAAAATCAGGAATGGAAGAGGAGACATCACTACTGACCCTACAGAATAATGAGGATCGTGAGGGGACACTACGAACACCCGCGTGCCAAACAAGTAGATGACTCAGCCAAAATGGCTCCATTTCTAGAAAAGACATAAACTACCGAAACTGACTCAGGAAGAAACAGAAAACGTGGACAAGCCGATCACAAGTAAAGAGACAGAATCAGTAATTTTAAAACTTCTCATAAAGAAAAGCCCAGGTGGCTTCAGTGGTGAATTCCACCACACATTTAAATAAGACCTAACACCAAACTCTCCTAAAAAACAGAGGAAGTGGGAATATTTCCCAACTCACTCTGCGAGGCTAGTATTACCCTGATATAAAAACCAGACAGGACATCACAAAAAAACTACACACTAGCATCTCTTTGTCTATGAATACAGACAAAAATCTTTTAACAAAATACCAGCAAACCCAATCCATCAACATATAAGAAAATGATTACACACTGTGACCCAGTGGGATTTATCTCAGGAATAAGGTTAGTTTAACACTCAAAATAGAATAAAGGACAAAAACAACTTGACCATCTTAATAGATGCAGGAAAAGCACGTGACAAAATCCACCCCTTACGCGATAAAAACACCCAGCAAATTAGGAGCAGAAAGGAACTTCCTCAAACTGACAAAGGGCATTTATGAAAAACCTACAACTAACAACATATTTAATGGGAAAAGACTAAATGCTTTCTCCATAAGATCAGAAATACGACAAGGATATCCATTCTTTTCACTTCTATTTAATATCATCCTGGAGAGTCTAGCCAGGGCTGGAAATAAAAATAAAGAAGAGGCTTCCAGATTAGCTTCAAAGGAGGAAGTAAAACTCTCTCTGCAGATGACAGGATCTTAGATACAGAAAATCCAAAGACTCCACCAAGTAACAATCAGAATGCACAGACAAGGTCAGCAGGGTTACAAGAAACAAGATCAATGTAAAATTTGAATTGTACTTCTATACCCTAGCAATGAACCATCAAAAAATGAAATTCGAACACAATTCTATTTACAATACCACCGAAGAGAATAAAACACGCTGGAATAAATTTAACAAGATAAATATGAAACTTGTACTCTGAAAACGGTAAAACATAGTTTAGTAAAGAATCCATTAAGACCTAAATAAATGGAAACTATCTCATGATCAAAGGATTTAATAGTTAAGGAGGCAAAGCCCCCAAAATGACCTACACATTTTGCAATCTCTATGCCTATCCCAGATACCCCCCTTTTTTTTTTTGCAAAAATTCATACAGAAATGCAAACAACCAAGAACAGCCAAAACAACCTAGAAAAATATCTAAGTTTGAGGATTCACAGATCCAGATTTTTGAAACTTAACAAAAAGCTACAGTAATCAATACAGTGTTAGGCCTTAGGATAGATACACAGATCAGTGGAGTAGAACTTAGAGTACAGAAATAAACCCTTACATTAATGGTCAATTGAATTTTGATAAAGGTGGTAAGACAATTCAATAGGGAAAGAGAAATTTTTAAACAAACAGTACAAAAGATAACTCGGACTCCATCCTTAGACTATACACACAAATACTAACTCAGAACTTAATTGTAGACCTAAACGTAAGAACTAAAATTGTGAACTCATGGTATTTCACTTCACACCCACTGGGGTGGCTGTAATGAAACAGACTGATAGTAACAAGTGTTGACAAGGATGTGTCAAACTGGAACCCCCACACTGCTGGTGGGGCTGTAAAATGATGCAGCTGCTTTGGAAAACAGCTTGGAGGTTCCTCAAAATGTTAACCTGGAGTTATCACGTGACCCAGCAATTCCACTCCGAAGTGAAATTCCAAAAGAAATGGAAACACGTATCCACACAAAAGGCTGTGCAAGAATGTTCACAGCAGCATCATTCACAAAGGCCACACAGCGAAAACGACTCAAACGTCCACTAGCTGATGAAGAGGTAAACAAGCTGTGGTGTGTCCATATGACGGGCTGTTACTTGACAATAAAAAAGAATAACAGAGTACTGATGCATGCTCCACCGTAGACGGATCTTGAAAACATCAATGCTAAGTGGAAGAAGCTATCCACAAAAGACCACGCATTATATGAATCTGTTTATATGCAAAGTCCAGAACAGGCAAAACCACAGAGGGAAAGGAGGGCTGGAGGGTGGGAAGTAACAGGAAGTGGCTCCTAACAGGTTTAGGGGTTTGTTATGAGGGGATGAAAATGTCCTCAAATCGAGTGGGAGAAAGTGGGGAAACCACCTGCGAAGGAAGCACATAACACGCCGAGGACCCGACTTTGAGAGCGCAAGTATGCAAAGGAGGACCTTTAAAAAAATTTTTTTTTTGCCAGTGGGGGTAGAAGGAGCAGGCAAAATAAAACAAATGGCAAACAGAAGGCGAAATGACACTAACAGGCTGATGTGGAGGTAAGAAAACAAAAAGCTAAAATGTACGAACATATTGAAAATCGGTGACAGTATTAACTTCCTTCTTTGTACGTCAAACACTCCTAGGAGATGAGGAGCAGTGGGGGTTGGAAGGTATATGGGGAAAGAGAGTAAAACTCTTTATAAAAATTCTTTAAAATACTGATACTCTACACCTTCCTTCCTGGGGTTCAGAATGAGAACTCCACAGACTTCCAATTCTTGTGGGATTACTCAGAAATGCAAATAATAATAATAAGTAACACTGGCTGAGGGCCTACCATGTGCTGGACCCATTTTCTCCCATCCCTCTCCTCCTAGTCCAGTGAAGTGGATACTATTAAAAAATCTCATTTTAAAGAGGAGGAAACTGAGGCACAAAGGTTAAGTGACTTGTGCAAGAATGGAAAATTTAAAAGTTCCAGAGTTAAGATGAGAAATCAGGAGCTTAATTCCAAAATCTAGAAATTTACCACCATTCCCAGTACGTCCCAAGCACATCATCAGTGGATCATAAAATGATTTTAGGTGGAATAAACTGGACCATCTCATTTCAGTATTTAGGCATAATAAAATAACATTTTCACAATAACTGAAGTTTTCTTTTGAAATAAATACATTAAAAAATGTTAAGTCAACTTTTAAAAAAGAAATCAATATAACACCTAAAAGGAAATACAGGAAAATTAAAATAGCCTGATTTGCTGAGAAGGAGAAATTTTGAGTCCCTTTAAAACATTTTCCTAGAGTTCCAAAATATTTGTGCAAAAAAAAAAAAAAAGCATTAAAAAAGTCTGTTCTAACCCCTAAAAACATAAGAAATCATTCTAGAAAGTACATTTCCATTGGTTCCTCCCACAAGATCTTAACACGCCCACCACTGAGCTCTCCCCCACTTCTGAGGGAGCCTCTCTCTCCCTCAGGAAGTAAATTCCTGACATTTATCAGATTTTCTTTTTCTTCATTTTATCCTATCTCATCCTGAAGCTCTGGGGCCAGCCCACTTAACTATTTATTCAGTGCTCCAGAAATTTTTCACCTCGCAGGGAATCTGGTAGGCATGTGCAAACAGTTCTAAAAAGGCAAGAGGTACCGTGTTAATCCTCGAGGGCTCCTCTGGATCTGATAAGCTGCCCACCTCTGGCTCCTAAACAAAGAAACTCCAACTGGCAGAGGGTCACCCTGAAGACTCCCGCATTGGCCAGAGACCTAGCCCAGGTACTTGCATTTCCCAGGAGCAGACACATCAGATACACTGGAGATTGTATGCAGAGCCAAACAAAACCATCTCTGGCTGTTTCATACAGTGAACAGAACAGGGAACTCTGTAGGTAAGATGGCTTAAAGGCCACTTTGCTTTCTGTCAACCTTCTGTCAACTCCAGCCAGCAGGCAAAGGCTGCCCTCACCCACCTGTGCATGTTCCCGTTGGTGGTAAAAGACTGCCCACACACAGTGCACTTGTAAGGCCTCTCTCCAGAGTGCACCAGCATGTGGCGGTCCAGGGAGCTGGCCGAGCTCAGCGACTTCCCGCAGATGCTACATGAATGGTCTGCCCCTCCAGTGTCCGTGTTATGCTGCAGGAAGTAATCATCGCAGTGGTCACTTAGAAAGATGGGTTAAAACTTGACGATTATGAAATGCAAATTCAGAGCTTTATTTAAAGAAAAACAAAACCCAAAACAGTAATGCTTCTCAGCTATTTTTTTCTGTGTCATTTTCAATACCTTCCCGAACATCAAAATCTATCAGGACCACAGGCAAATAAATATTTGGTACAATCTTCTGTTCCCATGTTCCAGTTTTGACAAATACTTCTGCAAGCTTCAGAAAGAAGTGGAGTCTTTTTCTTGGAGACACATATAGATTAACTGACCCCAAATATTAACATGAGCATTAAGATTCACTATGAGGCAAACATGAAATATGGTCCTCATGTTAATTCTTCTAGTTTGATGACTCAGTCTAGCTGTCAGAAAAAGAGAACTGAAACCTGCCCAGTTCAGAGAGTTCTGGCCTCTGAAATATGTTAAGAAGGAACACTTCTATCCAAACCCAAGTTACTAAATGATGTTATTATTCAGTACCATGTTATGATTTGAAAATTGTCAATCCTTCACTGCCCTGGATTCATGAATACTTGGCCAGGAACCAGCCATAGCAGGCAAGGGAAAAGGATAAATCTCACGGTAAAGAAGAAAAGCCAGAAGAGATCCCACATCAAGGAAACTCCCTGCTGCATGACGTAAGTTCACAGCAAGGTATAGAAGAGGGGTCTCCACCTACAACCTCACTGTACTGTGATGAGACTGGGTTCCTGCTGGCAAATCGTGTATGATGGAAAGTCTTCTGCAATATGTGGTCAGTTAACCAGATGTTTGCTAAATTCTGAAAAGGTATTCTGTGTTGACCTGGGACTTTGTCACAATAGCACGGACACACAAAAATTGTTTCATAACTGCCCCTCAAAATTATTAGAATATGAAATCTAAGTTAAACACAGCCACAGCTCATCCGTTAAAATAAAGTCGCCTTGCCCTCCCCTAATGAGGAATGATTTAAAACAAAAACACAAAAACAGCAGCAAACCTGGCGGATGTGCATAGTTAACTGATGCTGTGTAGTGCAAATCTTCTCACACAGAGGGCAGTTGTAGGAAGACTTTTCCTCTTTTGTTTCCTGAAAAGACAGAATAAAAGGGAGACTCTATTTCAGCTCAGTGGACCAGTGCCCCTTGTTTGTGTTATGATCATCCGGGTCTCAAGAGCGGCAGCCACAGAACAGCTGGAGCATGGGCTCTGGAGCATGGCTGGGTATGAGCTCTGGGTGAGTGGCCGTCCTGTCTGCCCTCAGTTTCCTCATTTGTAAAGTGGGGGAAGTAACAGCACCTCCCACATCAGGGTGTGATGAGGATTAAATCCATTAGCGCATGGAAGGCACTGGAATAGTGCCCAGTAAGAGCTCAAAAAATATTAGTGTTCTTGTTAGACACTATTTAGTTGAATCACCAGGGATGGTGAAAAATTAAGCACCAAGTTACAGCTGAGCCAGAAAAGGGGTGTATTTCTCCCCACGTCTGACCCAGGCTCCAGTCACAATTTTCCACCTGGTCCTGAGGCCCTCGAGACACACGAGTGATAATGGAGTTCTTACGACAAAAACCCACCCTCCTGAGGGCGGAAGGGCTCAGTGCCCAGCATGCCCCCAACAGACATCAAGCGGGCCCTTCCACTCGCTGCCAGCCCCTGGTGCCACTGCTCATATGTAAGAAACAGGAGTGAGAGTAAGAAACTGTGACAGGGAATGACAGCCCAACCTGAGGACTCCCAGAGTGACAAGAGAACCAGCTCACTGCTCGGCAAGGTGGCTCATTTTGTGCTCCCTCCAAACACACAGGACAGGCTTCCCTCAAGCACCACAGTTTGCGGTTTTAAGGAAAAGGATGAGCTCTAACCACACGCGACAGCTCCTCCTTCCAGAGAGTTCCCGGACAGTGCCATGGTGGTGCCTGCTGTCACCTCCTCACCCACGCGGTCCCTGCGCAGCACAGCTCTCTGTTTCTCACCCCAAAATTAATGGGATATCAAGGCTTGAAGGCCTCTCCCAGGATTTGGAACTGAGATGCTTAGAGACTGAGGTCGGGGGTTTCCAAAGATCAGTAGAATCACCCGGGGAGCTTTGTGAAGCCCAGATTTCTAGACCAGACTCGTGGCATGCTGAATCTGAATCACTGGGGCAGGACAGGAGCTGAGCCTCAGAAATCTGGGTTCCACAAGTCCCCAGGAGAGGATGACTCCTGCCAGGTTTGGGGTGACGAAGTGACTAAGTTAGGTAATGTGAAAGTTCATGCAAAGTTGGGGTGGGACCCAGCACTGTGGTGAGCCCAGGCCACAAGAGTGTAGCTGGGGAAGCCGGCAGCGCTAACGGAAGTGGGCACCCAGGCAGCCTGAGAGAGGGGAGGGCACCGAGGGTGCCGTCTCTAGGGCTGGACCCTCCAGCACCTTTTCACTTGTACTTATTTAATAAGTTTCTGGTTCCTTGCTAATGATACCAGTTATTGAACACTACTATGTGCTAAACTCTGTACATGTTGAATGGTGTTTTTTCCCTACAGCCATAAGAGATAGCTGCTATTACAGATTCCGTTTTCTGGGTGAGGAAACTGGGGTTCAGAGAGGCAAGCAAGTGGCCCCAAATCAGAGAACTATGAAGCAGTGGAGCCAGGATCCAGGCTCAGGCCAGCGCTCAACAGCCCATGCACATAACCACTGTGCTCCATGTAAGCCTGACCCCGAAAGGATTCACCCCAAGGCACAGAAAGGAGACACCCTCGTGGTTGGCTCATGAGAGATGATGAAAATGAAAGTCACCCTGAAGACCATAAAAACAAATGGCAGCATACACCAGATGCGGTGGAGTGAATGGATGATGGGTCTAGGACATGGTTCCTACCGTGGTTCCCTCTCACTTTTTTTTTTAACTGAAGTGAAGTCAGTTTACAATGTTGTGTCAATTTCCGGTGCACAGCACAATCTTTTAGTCATATCTGTGCGTACATATATTCCTTTTCACTGCAGGTCACTACAAGATATTGAATATAGATCCCTGTGCTAGGCAGTATAGACTTGTTGTTTATCTATTTTATATACAGTAGTTAGTATCTGTGAATCTCAAACTCCCAATTTCTCCCCTCCCAGCCTCTCACTCTTTAAAGACTTTTAAAAAGCCCCACTTTAAGCAACACACGCCTTCTCCTAGTCTTAGGTCTGAGAACTAGGTATGCAACACATTTTTTTTCACTCTCAAATTTTAAAAAATCACAAATATGAATTCTAAGGAAGTTGATTAACCCAAAGACAATTAAAAAACAAACAAAAAAAGACCCTGCAGCCTCACCAAATCATCACACACTTTCACTCCTGCCAGAGGCACAACGTGTGTGTCTGGTGGGGACGGGCATAGGGAGGGGGGTCGCACCCTCTCAGCCGCTGTGCTGCAGTCACAGCGGAGCTGGCCAAGAACCACCAAACACAGATGCCAAACTCCAGTGTGAACAGCAAAGCAAGGGCTCGCGTAGAACGAGGGATGCCTCACAGCTGGGCAAAGACTCAGTCTCTGGGGCATTTTTGTTAAATTATTAGGTTAGCAATAGTATAGCTCAAACAAATTTTTTTTTCAAAAAAGGGATTCTTTGGTGGGAGGGAAATAAATGTTAAAAAACCAGGCCTCCAAGTGGCCAGCCTCTTGAGGAGGCAAATTCTTTTTAAAAAACCACCTTGCATTCACCTTGAGGCAGATACAGACACACCGAGCAGCCTCCGAGGCTGAGGGATTGACTCGGGGTTGACCATGAACCGGAGCCCGATCCTTCTCTGGGGCGGGCAGCGGCGCACTGCAGACCGCAGCGCAGGTCCACGAAGTCCACGCGGTCTGGGAGAAGGAAGTCTCCAGACTCAGATTTAATTTTTAAAAACAAATCAAACAGAAAAGGGAGCATCGTGACGCTGGAAGAGGCCCTACTGGAGAGAGCTGAATCCAGTTACAGCGGCCACGCTGGTGGAAGGAAGGAGCGTGCTTCCTGAGCTGACAGATAAAATTAGCAGCTAATGTGATAACTAACCATTCCGTAATGAAACAATCTGGCACCCCTGTCGGCGTCCGGCTGTGGCTAATCTGCCCTGGAACTGTGTGAGCTGCTGGGACTCCTCCCCCGGCGCCCTCTCAGCCCTCCCGCCCGTCCCAGGTGCGGATGATGCACTGTCTCTCCTGCACCGCACTTGACTTTATTTTTTCCCTAATGCACTGTCTTTCCTATCCTTCCTCTGGCTCAGACCGCCTTTCAAAAACTAAGCCAGGGCCTCGAGGAATCCTGGAGGACATAGGAGCTGGATGGAAAATGGCCTAGACATCTCTGCGGAGTCACCTCCACTCACCATGCGGGGACGGAAGTGCCGGGGGTCCCTTCTACAGCCCTACCTCCTGTCACTGAACCACTGGGAAGGGACCAAAGCCTGGACTGGGGCTGACTCTACCTGTGCTGGGCTTTTTAAGGAAGAGCATGGCCCCGGGTTGGAAGTAGGAGCCAGGTGTATATTGTGAAATGGGGGGATGGATGGAGAGATGGACAGATAGATGGATGGATGGACAGTCATGTGAGAGTGGAAATAAACCTTTTCTTCCCAGAGCTAGCGCTCCTTCTTGGCTCAGGCCACAGTCATACAGGCTGAGAATTTTCTCAGGTACCCATAGGAAGAGAGGCACGTGGAAGCAAGGAAAAAAAGAGAAAAAGCATCAATGCCCCAACTCTAAAGCATCATTTAACTCTGCCAAGTCTTCGGCCTTGAGAAAGAAGTGGAGAAAACGGACACTCCCACGCTGCTGGAGGGATTTTAGGCTGGCACAACTCTCCCTGGAGGGCACATTGTGTCAAAAGCCATAACCCATGTGGTACTTCTGTGAATTTAGAGAACATCACAGCTGTACTCAGACAATTCTGTATAATGACAGGGTTATTAATAAAAAAGAAAATTAGGGTTATTGATAAAAAAGAAAATTAACTCACAAAAGCCCAACAGGGTTACTTTCCTGTCCTCCCCTGGAATCTAGGCAAACTCAGAAGACTGCCTTCTCCTGGGAGTGTGGAAGAACCCATTAAATCAGTGATGCCAAATACTGAACATTCCTATCGCACAGACCCAGAGCAAAGGGGAACTGCTCACCTCACTCCTCGAGCTTCGAGGGCCGTGCAGCACACTGCTGATAGGACAGCAACCGCTTCTCCACTGGAGCTTCTCCAGTGCCCCGTTTGTACGTTAATTAGAAGGCTCATCTTACTTCCCAAGGGAGGAGATGGGAACTTTCACACTGTCCCTGCTCCCATGTGCTCTTCCCCACCCATCCTGATCTGATGCCCTCTGAAAACTCAAGAGGAATAAATCACATCTTGAGCGGAGTTCTCTGGAGCCAAACCGTGTGCTTGGTCCAGGATGGGACATTGAGAAGCACAGTCAGGAATTATCACCACCTCATCCAGAGACTCTTAAAAAGAATCAAGGAGGTGGCATCAGAAACCCAACCAATCAGCTGCGTGAATGAGGAAAGGATTCACATCGCAGGAGAGAAATGAGTTGAATTCTCTGCCTTGTCTGTCTCGTGAAGAAAGCTTGTGTTCAAATCAAATTACGGAGCAGAGAATAATAAAGGTGTTTTCACCAATGATGACACCACAGCTCAGAATACTCCCTCCATGAGAGGATACTGACATGCGCTATGAGAAGTTTGCTCTTGAAAAAGGACTGCGGCCTCTGGGCGTGTCTGTTTAGTTCCCACCGCGTCCAGGGTTCGGCTTAGGAAGCTGGGGCTCAGGGGAATACCCTGCTCCCAACACCCTTGCAGACGTCACCGCCGGGCACACCGATGCTTACCTGGTTCCTTCGGCCAATCCGATTTGGTCCTGGAGGCTTCGCGGGGGACTTGATGCTCTGGGGGCTCCCGCCATTCTCCGCAACCTTCCCTACGCTCATTACCGCTGACATCATGGTGTTGATGGAAGACAAGTCTGAACCTTCCAAGCCAACGGGCGAACTTGACGTCATTGGGACAATGGTTTAAGCTTCCAGGAAGCCTCGGCCACAGAACTGAAAATCGGAAATTGCTGATGTGACGGCTGGGAAATGTCAGTGTCTGTCAGAGCCAGGTGGCATGGCCATGGCTCCCGTCACTGCGAGCTGGGTCAAAACCCCTAAAGCGCTCCTTCTTCACTTCACGCTGACCCTCCTGCCCATATGGCATCTAAACCATGTGCTGTCCCAGCAAAGACCAACTGATAACCTTGCTTCCTTTCTGAGCATGCGCCACCGACAAAGTGGCCTGAGGCAGGCCTGTTTGCCCTTCCCGCTCTTTCATTAGGCAGAGTGGGAAAGATTACAACGATTAAGAAGCCCAGGGGCCGCCAGCTCCCTCCTCCTAGCCTAACTCACTACCACTCCGTGCATGTTCTAGACCAACAACTAGTGATGAGAAACCTAGGCTTTCGCTCAACTCCAGGCTTCAATGCTGTGATTTTAATGGGGAGCCCAAACCGTGCAAGACAACTGAGAAGCCAGTGCTTTCAGAATTACAACCAAATTTCAAATCAGCATAAAAAAGACTGTTTCTTAAAACATTCAAGTAGGTAATATACCTGAACCCCAGAAAATGGACAGAAGGGAAACCCAGCCTCCACTGCCAATTACCTCCATTCTCTGCCCCAACCGACAGCCTGCGAGACCTTCCCCTGCTACAGCTATCATCCACGGGGAGCAGGAAGTGAGGCTGGTTCACTTCTTTTTTTTTCTTCTCTTGGTAACACTTGCTGACACTGGTAGGGAAGCAAAGGCAAGAAGATTCAGTGAGTGTCTCTTCACTTAGTGAAGAAAAAACGGAAATCATTTGTCTGCTGTAATCTCAGACCAGTATATTCATGAGACTACAGGGAGCTATGAGAGGCGATGTCAAAGTCTTCTTTTTCTTCCAAAACCACATTCTGTGGTTGTTTTTCACCCTTAACTGATGTTCCCTATGGTGCTGTCACCCTCACTCCCAACAGCCAAAACGATTCTGTGGTATTTTACTTGCTGTGGCTCATATTTATACACACAGTGAATTTTGTTTTATAGTCCACCCCTGCGCCCCACAAGGACTCTCAGACTCCCACGTCACCCACCTCCAGTCTCTACCTAAAGCTGACCAAAGACAAGGCAGTAAGAGAATTCACTCAAGGCTCAGAGTCTAGAAGGAATTAGGTCAGCCCTTTAGGAAACCTGGTAATATGAACAGGATGACCCAAAGGAAAACTATGGCCCGTGGACACATCTCCAAACCTTTCTTAGCTACATTCCTTCCCGAGAAGTGCTATGGCTGTAGGAACAGCCAGAAATAAGTCTCCAGGCAAACTGTTCCCTTATTTCATCCGGGAAGACATTCTCTAGCAAAACCCTGCCGGTGAGCCACGTGCCCTGTTCCCCTACAGTGTGCACTAAATTCTGCAAGTCCACAGCTGCCGTCAAAGCTCAAGCTATCTCGGGAGCAGAGTGAATGCTTAGGAGCAACACAAGAAAGAACATGACTTCTTGCGGGTCCTCCTCCAACTCTAGGGGAAGTGACCTAGGATGTGACAAATGGAAACACCCAGAGCAGCTGCAAACACGTCCTGCAGGAAAGCCTGGGGACAGAGCTTTACTGACTGACGCTGCCATCAGCTGAGAAGCCCTGAGCTGAGACCTTCCCAACAGCCAGAGAGAACCTCAGGAGCAGCTCTGTCTTAGTTGAGAGACAAAATGAGCCTTCCTCGTCAGCAGACGCTTCAATGATACAAACCTACAGGTTTTCCACGTGGTAAGTAAAAGGACGAAGTACACAAACATGAAACCTCAGGCCACTGATCCAGTGGGCCCAGGTTCACCCCTCACATCTTTCCTGTGAAAAGAAGGAACCTAGGTCCAAAATTTAAAAAATAAATAAATAAAAACAAAGCTGCTGTCTTTCCATGAAGCTTCTCCCCTATGGAAGACCATTTAAACTTATTAAAAATTGTGCTTCCGAACTTCTCATTTTGACTGACTTTGAAAGTTTATTTGGGAGACTCCTCTCTAGGAAATAAAAAACTTTCAACACAAGTAGACACACATAAGCACACACACACACACCCCTCCCTTCTTTCTTAAAGGATTTCTAACGGAAGTATCACCAGTTCCCCTGAACTGTTACCATCAATCCACATATGACTGCTTGCTTGATTCAAATAAGCAGACGCCTTCGATACCAAAGCCCTCTCATTCTTTTAAACGTATGTCCTCCATAGTTTTAACGTATAGCAAATTATAAAGTAACTGACTAGGAATCTTCTCTATTGTAATTATATTATGTCAGCAAAGAGAAAGTTAACCTTCCCCCCAGTTTACAGTAGTTTAGATGAACTTTCGTCCTACACTTCTACACTTAGAGAAGAAAAATGTGGTAGAGTTTACTCAGACCAGGAATAGATTAGGGCAAACACCTTTCGGACAAATATAAAATTGTAAGTTACAAAATACATATTCTAATTCTTTTACTGAGTAGGGAAAGAAAATGGAGACTGGAAACAGTCGATATGAAAACTAACAAAAATATATTCACCGAAAAGAGGCAAAGTGCCAGTAAGAATTTTTGTCACAATCATTGTAACATCAAAGATACATTCTTGCAAACTATATAAATGTCCCAAATATAGAATACCCAGCAACAGTCACAGTAGTTAACCCACCTAAGGGCTGAGAGTTGCAAGGGCTCAAATCCCAACTGGAAAAGGAGAAAAGTCATGCAAACTTGCTATTTCCCACTTTGTCTGGACAGGAAGACATTTGCTAAATTTATTTCCTCCTCTGGGATAAAGTGTAAAGTGTGACACTACCCACTGATGACGCCAAGATCACCCACATTCACTTCCTTTTCCTAGTTTAAATGTAAGTAAATCATTTCTGATCGGAAAGTGTAATTAACAGAATGAAATTCCCAGTTACACGGTTGAAAAGAAGAACAGGGTCCCTGGACTCATCCCTGAAGAGCTGTTTCAGAAGCTACCCCCACCAGCCTCTTGGAGCTATTCTGAGATTTTCCTCCAGCTTGCGGCTTGTGTCTTACACTTGAGTTCTCCTTTTGGGAGGACCGAGCAGGAAGAAGGGAATGGACTTGGTATAAAACAATGCAGCTCATTGTTCCAGGTCAGAAAAAACAAATCCACCTTCAGGCTAAGGTGCATTTATCCACCCATTTAAGCAGAAGCTAGTGGCCTGAACTGGTCAGTTCTCCCCCACGCCTGACTCTGGACCACACTACAGCAAGAACCCAAACCGACCAACCTACACCTTCTGATACTCAGCCTCAGAGGATGAAAGACTGGTTTAAGAGGTTAAGGTCCATTTACGGAGCACGTTTTTCTTTACAGGTGTTTACAGTCTTAATATTTCCATTCCCTCCTTTGCTCCCTGACACCATCCTACACATCAGCCCCGCCACTGCAAGTGGGAAAACAACGGCAGCCATAACGAACAGAGTGAAAATAAAAATCACGGGCCCCATTCTAGTATGACCTCCTCCAGCTGGGACCAGAGACGGCAGGGAACCCAGATGGAGCTCCCAAGTCACAGACGCGAAAGGAAATCATCATCTCCACTGACACGGCCAAGTGGACTGGCCTGGTGTTCCAGTTTTGAACATAAACAGTCTGAATTTTGGGGTGGGAAGGGAAAAGCAGGGAACGGGGGTGTCTGCAGCGCTGCTTCCTGGGAGCCAGACCCTCTGCACCCCTCTGAGACTCCTCACCCGACACCCCAGGCCATTAGGTCAGGAAGAACCAGCAGCTCACAGTTATACTGTCACTGTGGTCCTGCATCGAAGCCTCAGGAGGGCCCCAAGCAGCGGGGAGGCCACTCAGCGGGGACGGGAGAGGAGAGGGAAGACAACGCTCAAAGTGACCGTGACTCAAGGAAAGTCAACGAGATTTAACAGACCTGTTTCCTTCGTCTTAAAAAGCTGGCCCTCCTGACTGAGGAGCTAGTGCTGGCTGGGCCCAAGCGTGGGCAGGGTCACACCTCAAAGCCACCGCCTCTGGAGCAGATTGGAGCAACCTGCAAAAACAAGAAAAGGTGACATTAAGAGGAAGCCCAGGCAGGAACGGGTCCTGTCTCAGTACTACTTTCTCCACTTACACCACCGGGAGTCACAAATTAAGGACAACAGAGCATATCCCACCCCTGCCCGCACTTACAAGCACGCTTCGAGCAACTAGGTCAGCTCCACTTGGGCAAGAGGGACCGGATCAAGTGTGACTTGGACGGACAGGAACCCCAAAGCGCCCCGACAGCTGCAATGGCAACACCCGTGGGAACGGCCAAGACCTCCGGGGGCCCCAGGTGGAGCTCTGAGCGTCTTAATGGCTCGCTGACAGCAGATGCTGACGGGCCACCGGTTTAAAGGGTGGAGAAGAAAAGACAGCAGTGAGTGCCTTCAGAAACACAGAGAGGGAAAAGGAAGAGCGCTGAAAGTAAACAGATGGGACTAAAACAGCCCCCTAATTTGTAAAGGAGTGACTGCTACACTTTTTCCTGAGTGATGGGGAGAGTTCAAATAGGAACAAAGGCAGATCTTTTCCTTTCTGTAGGGAAGATACAGAAAACTCAAACTGCACACTCCTTTCAAGAGTTTGAGGAAGTTTGCTCTGCGAGTGCCAGGGGCCTCAAATCCCTGACCCGGGAGAACGCTGTGTCTGGCCCTCTGCGAAGTGAGAGCAAACTGGAAGAAAGCATTTCCCAGTGCTACACGCTCGGCCACATTCTGTTTCTAAAGCAGCCTCTGAAGAGTGCAAAGCGAGAGACAGGGGAAGAAGTAAAGTAACTGCCACGCGGACAAAACCTGTCGAGGAACGTTTCCTTGATGTAAAACGTTTTTATCAAACCCTTTCAGAGTGTCTGCAGAAAAGCTGTCCAATACATCGCAGCCCAGTTATCCTCCTGAATCTTACTCACTTTGTCCACAGCTCCCGAGCGCCCGAGGCAGGCATGCCCCAGCTGGACTGCTCTGATTGGGAGTAAAAGCTGCACCAGCCCCCTCCACGATCAGAAGCAGCTCCTCAGTGATTTCTGGCTCTCTCTCTTTGCACCTCACTGCTTCAGTTCTCCATCTTTTTCTTTGGGCCATTCTCTTTTGAAAAGTTCTGATTTTGAATAAAGTATCAAGAAATAAGGAGTAACTCTTAAGGACAGCCCCTGAACGGGCCAGAGACCCCCTTAAGCTTCAAGGAAATTTCATTCTCGATGGCTTCTTGGGGGCAAGACCCTCCTTGAGGATCTGATGAAAATTATGGACCTTCTCACAGAAAAATACCTACTCTATACCCAACATTTTCCTTCAGTATCAGGCAGGTCAGGGGCCCCGGAAACTCATCTGGGATTAGTAGGGTAAGACTCAGTTTTACTTGCTATATAACCCACCTTCCTTTAAACTACAAACCAAGTCAGTTTTACTAAAATCCCCATGAGGTTTCAGAAATGCACAAACAAAACATCCTTTCAGATCCTCCCCACCCACCTAAATTTAAAGATGCCTAAGGTGAAATTACATGCTGTTAAAAAAAAAAAAAGGCAAGCCAAGTTTCCCTACATTGTTATTCATTTGTATATTAAGGGCAAGAATTATTAGGAAGAAAGTCTGGAGAGGCATACCTCCATGGTTTTTCTTAGAAACTGCCAAGATCTCCAAATAAGAAAGTGAACTATATTTCTATACATAATGAATAAAAACACACGTCAGAGAAACAAGCCTCTGGAATTAAAAGTTTCCAGCATATAACTAACACTCTCATTGAAATTTGGGCCCTCTCCTTCCCCTCATTTAGAAAAGATGCCTTTAAAAGTCCAACCAAGGAACCTCTGCAATCCACAAAAGGAGCCAAGGGGAGGAGAGGGCCATCCTGGCAGACTTGACCCTGGAACATCCATCCTCTGCTCTAGGACGTAAATGATCTGAATATCAAGAAAGTCTTGCAATTAGGCTGAGAAACAAGAGTCACTACCCTGTTTGTTTTGGGTTCCACCAGGCCTGAGGGATTCACAGAACCCAGACAGTGGAAAGGTATAGGACAGCTCTTGGAAGAAAGTTCAAGACACCCCTTACCTCTATCACCACTGCCTCAAGAAAAAGAAAGAAAAAAATGGCCCATGAGGAGGGATCATACCCTAGAGGATGACTCCTGTAGGGGCGATGTGACAGAACACCACCAGGAGGGGCGGGTCTCCAGCTCGAGGGAGGGTCCTGAGCTTCTGGATCTGCATTCCCACACAGGCTTTGCCCAGATCCGATGGAAGCAGGACAGCTGAGAGAGGGCAGAGGTCCCTAGGTGGGGATGGGGGGAGGGGAAGGCCAGCCCCAGCCCCAGCCCCAGCAGAGATAAGGAACAATGCTATGTGAAGCCAGAAAGAAAAGATTAAGGATCCTGTCTCCAGGTCCAATGAGACAGCAAAGAAGAGATGAAAGATAAAGGAAAGATGGTCTAGAAACAAAGCTTCCCAGCTTATGAAAACCGGGAGGTTTCTTGAAGTGAAATGTGAAATCCATCCTGAGGCCCCCAGGAAAGACGGGGTAAGCCCGGATGCCAAGGATGAAAGCAGAAGCCCCCAAACCGTACAGCGGTGAGCTTCACAACACCAAGCTGGGGCGGCGGCGGTGCCGAGCTGACACAGATGTCCGCGCATACTTGGGATGGTTGATCCCCTGACTGGAAAAGCCCAGTGAACAGCCTCGCTGGCCGGTTTGAGCCAACCCAGGACGGGCTGGAAGAGTGTGAGTTAAGAGGGGTTCAGACATTGAAATGCTCTGGGCTGTGAGGGCAAGGACATCTCTCTTAGGACGGGCTGAGGCAGAAAGTCTTGGCTAGGCTGGGGATGGAACCCCAGCCAATCTAGCTGCTGCACCGTGGCTGTGCCTGCGAAGCTCGGGGCAGAACTGTCTCCTCTGACCAGGCCAGCCTCGCGTGTGCTCTGAAGGCTGACAGCTGGGATGACGGCTCTGAGTTCCAGGAAGTTGATGTGTTTCTTGGCTGAGGGTTCAGTCTATGCCTTGGGTAGGGCGGCAACTCTTGCGTGCCC